TAACGCCTCTAGAATGCGTTCCCCCATCGCCCTCCGAGTCTTGCGCGAGAGGCGCATGCAACTGGTTGGTCACACAGCACCGCAACCTTGACACGCGCCCGGTCCCCCCGTGAACCCAGAAGCATGGCTTGGGGCTCGCCCAAGCGGTGAGCACTTTCCCTTTTCTGCGGCCGTCACTTGTCGCCACACCCAGATTTAATTCGCCCTGTCCTACATATCGTCATCCTCGCCAGCCTTCGGATCTGGGGGCCAGGTTTAGGCACTTTAAATCCTCCACGATAGGCGCCGGAAGGATCGGCGGTTAATCTGCCGTCCCTCTGCTACTGCTGCTGCTGCTGCAAAACTAGACTAGAGCTGCCACGAGCCACACCACTCTGGTCCTCTCTCTCTCTCTCTCTCGTTGCTGCTGATGATGCGGATGGATTGCTCACCCTGGAGCCACTTGCCACCCATCTGCCTGCCTGTATGACTTGACCCATAAACAAACTGTTTGCAGGGGGACAGGGTCGCTGCAGGTCGTATGCGTACGTACGTGTGTACGTGCGTGCGTGCGCAGCTGCATCCATATCGCTTGCCAGTCTGACTCGAGTCAGACCTCGTCTTGAAACCGTGGGCTACTGACCTGTACAGAGATGCAAGGCGGTTTCGGCTTTGCGCTACGTTTTGGCCTGTGTCGCCAGAGAGGCTTCTACCTCAGATTCCTGTCCGGATGCTCGCAAGTACAACGTTGCCGGGATGTGCAGGCCTGATCATCGTACCAGGTAAGGGACGTCGTGGCGAACTCCGTGATGCACAGCATCCACCCAAAGGGCTCGATCACTTCCTGGTCCCCCCCAGTCAACCGCGGTTACTAGTCGGTTCACGGATGAGACACATCAAGGGCGACATGCCGCCCTCCCTGGGGTATCGCGGCTCCTTGTCCCACTACAACCTCCAACCGCTCCCTTAAACGTGTGCCTGCCCAATGCGAACGAAGCCGTGGTTGTCCTCCACCCCCCAGTGCCCATCGCGCTGCACCATCCATAGGACTTGTCACATTCGGCTTTATTCTCGTCAGGTGCCTGCCGTCAGCTGCAGCCCGAATGCATGGGCCTCCTTGAGAAAGCCGCAGCAAAGATCCGCGACAGTGGTTCGAGACGCAGTGTGATGGATGTGCCATGCCTGCTCTAGTCCCCTTCACGATGATTGGTTTCTCCGATGAGGCGCCTCCTCTCGTGCCCTTCATCCACCTCACCCGAAGACATGTGATATATTGCATGCTGATGGCGCTGCTGAAGAACCGTTTCAATGTTTGACAAGCTGGGACCTCTTTCGTAACCCAAGCGCCGCGCGGTTATGCCTGGAGAGATTGCCCATCTCCCGAGCTCCATCGACGTTTCATAGTCTCCCGCCGTCTCGCATTCCAGGTCATACCATGGCGACCCACGATAACCGCAAAAGTGACGGCGCTGGTGTATCATGCAGCAACGAATCCTCCTGACGCTCAGATGACTTGTGTGCTCCACGATCACCGATACAACGGCGACGTATTGGCAGACTCGTTCCGTCTTTCGCCAAGGCGGAAGTAGCAGCGGTCTTGGACCGAAATGTCCGCATCTTCAGCATAGGGTGTGCAAGGGTCTCGTCACCGTGCGGATGCTCTTCTCGCGAGGTAGATGGAACACAGGGACGGCACTCAGCTTGGAGGTACATGCGTACTGTTCGCCAGGCCCCCTTTCGACGGGATGGAGGCAAATCTACCGGAGACTCTTCATGCCACAGCCCTCCCCTTCCTGGATGGGCAGGGAGAATTGGACCATGGAGCATAGCCTTGTGAAGGGAACAGATGTGGCACTTCAAGGAGTTGTCCACTGTACCAACAATCTTCGATGGATCAGGAATGAGATTCTCTCACCCTAAGTTCAAGTCAGCACTGTTGGTGCCTTGTCGTGCACTCTAGCGGCGCAGTATCGGTTCACCAATCCTGCGATAGCTACAGAACATGTTTCCAGATGTAGCAAACTGTTTCTCTTCCATGAGAATGACACGCCTTTGTTCCCATTCGCATACCCTTCCCACGTAGTTTGATCTGTTTCGGTGCATTCCTAGAGACAAGGTCTGTTCTGATAAGACCACCACGTCAGGCTATGTAAATGTTGCCTGATCGCCAAAAATACCTCGTCTCTGATTCTGCTCAGGCCGAGCTTGCTGGCTGAGGCTCCCTCTCCCAAACTTGCATCATGTTCATCAGACCTTTCGAATCTATCTGCGTCTCGTTTAAATCACTTTGGCAAATATGCTTCTGGCCTACTGGAACTGACTTGGTTGTTGGCTCCGTCAATATACCACTAACAGTAGGCCTTGCATCACACATCCCGTAGCTTGGTGCGTACTTACGTCACGGGAGACATACGATGGCAGTATCATCACCCTCGTCCAAATCAGTCTTCACCTGTGACTAACCACAACTCATCCTTCACCAGTTGACGTTTCCGTGACGAATCTTCCGGGCGAATGCAGATGGAAGAATCTGCAATCCGCAGCATCCTTCTACGGACTGATCAGCTCGCGTTCAACTTCATGTGCATGGGCTCTGATGGGTCGGTTAGAATCGCTTTCGCCTCAAGACCGAGTCCGCAAATCTCATCCGTGTCCTTCCTCTACTGGAGCCGCGCATCGATGTCTCGGCTTTGATGGTGTATTATTGAACAGAACGACAGCCCACCCACGGACTCGTTCAGTCAAGAGATTCGGGCGTAACATCTGTCCAACTGAAGGTCCTTTCGGTATGCTCCCAGTGACGCAAACACCTGATATTGATGAGTGTCGAACGCCCCGGGCAAAGAAAGGTCCGTCTCATCGACCTTATCGCTATGAAATGAGACAGTAAACAACTTCATAGTCTTGGAAAACGCTGTCTGAGGTCGTTGGCTGGAACAGGTAGAGAGTACCTGTTGTGGACCTAGACGGGTGGAAGGCTGCTGGGATGCTCCACACATCGACCACAGTTTCGTACACGTGGCGTTTCGTCAACGTTAGCTCCATACAAGTGTTCCTGTCCTCGTTGTAGCTGACGGGATTCATTGGCACCCAGTCCCAGGATATCCGTTCTTTAGAATCGATCGAGGATCACGTTGTGTCAACCCGCAAGGTCAACTCTGTCGTTGCGTTTTGTGTTGTCTCTAATTCGAGTGTCGGTATATATCCCTATAATTGCTAAAACTTGTCTGACCATCAATGATGTTGAGTGTGCAATGAGTGGATTCTCATGGAACAAAGACACTAGGGATTTATGCATCCACGTTGACTGACCACTGCTGACGAATGTGCTCGAGAAGGCTTCTACAGAGAATTAAGCCTATGGGAAAGATGTCGCAGCACTTCGATAGCTATAGCACATGCGTGCAGATTTAGCAAGCTTTGTCACTTGTCCAGACATGATCAAATTTGATTTCTAATTACGCACTCCTTTTAGGTAGTCTGATCTGTCTCAGCATATTCCTGGAAGCAAGGTCCGTTCCAAAGAGACTGCCACTTCACGCTTTCTTTATGTCTGATCGGCAAATCAACGGAGACTAGATTCTGAAAGCATTTTGTTACACGAAGACTCGAAGTGGTTGACCCATAAGATCAAGAAGGAAATTAATCTGGAAAAAGAGATGTGGAACCAAGTACGTCCAGGGTTTTGTACAGACTGCACTGCTGTTCGTATAACATGAGGTGATTCGGAAAGTTCATGTTTTGTTGCGAATGTTCAAAATTTTACAGTCAGATGAAAGTCTCAGCAGCAGTACCATATTCGTGCAATTCACATGTCAGTTTAGCGTCTGTCACGAGCGCTCTAACGAATGTTGATCCTGATTGGCAAATCTACTGCGGTCTCTCATCGTCTTCCGGTCATGTAAACTATGAGAGCCTTCAGAAGAGAGTTTGTAGATAGTCTGTTCCGGATTTGTAGGATTGAGAAGGGGATCTAGCTTCTTGTGGGACCAGATCTCGTGGCGTTGATGGTTCTTACAACACGGTCTCATGATTCATAGTGACTAGGATCAAAATTGCTTACATCATGCATAGATATGCCATGTGCCTAGCTGTTGCGCAAATGAACTGTGGCACATGTATAACGACGAAACGAAATGCAGGACACAATTCGAACGTGTTTATCCGAGTGGAGTATGAGTTCCTGTCGATTCTCTGACAATTTCCAGTCGATACTTTATCGATTGGATTCATCAATACAATCTCCTGGATTGGTGGTATCGTCGAGTAGAATGTGAGTTCTTGTCAATTCTCTGGCGGTTTCGAGTCGATACTTTATTGATTGGGTTCATTGATGCAATCTCTTCGCCTCGGTTAGTAGTATTGTCGAGTGGAATATGAGTTCTTGTCGATTCTCTAGCAGTTTCAGTCGATACTTTATCGATCGGGTTCGTCAATACAGTCTCCTGGATTGGTAGTATCGTCGAGTGAACTTGAGTTTCTGTCGACTCTCTAGCAATTTCCAATCGAAAGTATCGACTAGATTCACCAATGCAATCTCCTCGATCAGTGATGCCATCGAGTGGAATTTGAGTCTCTGTCAATTGTCTGGCAATTTCCAGCAAATGATTTGTCGATTGGATTCACTAGTCAATACAATCTCTTGTTTATTTCTTTGCGAGTCCGACACGGTGCTCAAGTCACATATAAAACATCTGACGGCATTCATTCTTGTAGAAGCATACGTTGGCAGACAGGTAATCGGGTGGAAGCTCAGTCGTCCCAACTTTAGAGGTCTGCGCTTTCGTGACAAGCGCTCGTGCGGCCATGGGCAGCGACATTCGGCAAGCAAAACTTCCATCTCTTGTCTAATATTTTAGCGATTCTTGGCAAGGTACTGGCCCTAGCCATCCGCTGGATATCTAGATCTACTCGCCCGTCTGTCACAGCTGTATGCACGATAAGATTGTTACATCCAATCGATAACGTCAAAAGAGAAAAATTCGACACTCCTAATGTCTCGCATCGCGACTACTCCAAAAAGGTCTCACCGGGGCTCGAACCCGGGACCTTGTCTGTCCACACTGCACTTGTCAATGTTGCAGGAATGTGAAAGACACGTCATACCACTAGACCATGAAACCGAGGTATAGAGCAACAGACGAATGCTGCTACCATGACAGAAACTGGAATCAGATGAAATATATCTAACGACACAATTAAGCTGGATTGTATCGAATTCTAGAGATAGCGGCAACTACACGATAACATCCACTCATGTCTCAATAATAATCCATACATACGAAGTGGCCTAGATCGAAGGCGGGAGGATACTTCTCCACTGGTCTGGGAGACTGATTCTTTTGTTCGTCCACTAGGACACGCCGCAGGTGGGGAACCAGGGAAAAGTCATCCACTCGAGTGTCTCTAGATGCACCCTACTTTTTCCTCGATTTCTTCGCTGGGCGGCATGCTTCTTGGCTTGATGGCACTTCCTTCCTCTTCTCGGCCCACTGGGCCTCCCGTTTTTCTCTTGCCTTTGCTTCGGCGAGGCGCTCTTCCAGTGGACGTTCGGTCGCCGTGTCGAAAACAATCTTCTTTCCGGTCTTTGGCTTGATCACCCTCTTCTTGAAGGCTACAATCTCTTCATCGGAACGGCCTTCTTTCCTCATCCTGTAAACGGGGGCTCTTACAGTTGTCTGCCAATTCTGGCGCACTTCCTTTCGATGCTGCCTCTCCTCGACAGTTTCCGCGGCAATCCTGTCGGCTTCTCTTATTCTCCTTATCTCCCGCAAAGCCTCTTCGGTGAAAGCAGAATCTCGATTCGCCTGCACCATCTGCCGGCCCAGAGGCAAGGCCCCGTTTAGACCCGACAAGCCGGATTTCCAGGGGGATGTGCTCTCGAGCCAACGATATGCCTTCATCGAGTGGTCTGTGAAGGAGCGCAGCCAGCTGGCGAATATCTGCTCGGCCACCAGACAGGTCTCTCGCATGTAGTTAATCACGGCGGCTTTTCCGCTCGTTATGTCGTGGATTGCCAGCGCCCGGAACTCGATGTACCGATTCTTGTCGGCCTGGTCAACTATGTTATAGAACCGCGTCCCTCTCGAAGAGCGTTTCTGTTTCTCCTTCTTTCTATGGTTTGGGTCGGCATGTTGGCCCGTACGATTCATAAGGCCACGTCCAGGAGCCGTGGCCGAGCCGACGTAGGAGTGCGAGTCGTCAACATCGTTAGGGGTCAAGACCACTCCAAGGTAAACACCTGGTCGGTTGTCACTAGGAATCATTGGCAAATCCAGAAGATCTTGCACAGAAGGAGGAGAATCAGCACCAAAGATCCACTTGGCTTTAGGCACAGTGATTCGAGAGACGTCCTCAGCCCACTGCTCAGCGGAGCGGCTTCTTAGCCTTCCATCCCAGCCAATTCCGAAGGCGATATGCGGCTGGTTGAGCAGAACTTGAATAAACTGGACCAGCCTTAACTTGAAGATCCCTGGATTTGAGGAAGCCATTTTCCAGGAGGCTACTTGTTACAGCACAGTATCGGAGAAAGCACTTGTAATGACGCTAGAAGCTTATTCGAGACGGCAGTGGAGCGATAGAAGACGGAATAGATGGACGGGAAATGAGTGGAGCAAGGAAATAGAGTATCTAGTGACTGGAAATCTAGGGGATAGGTACTCTTCCTAGTAGACTCTACGCCGTGATATATCGAATGGATGCAAGAATTCGATTGGGACAGGCCGCGACGGCAGCCTAGGCTGCACGCCCAACGAGGCGATGCTATTGGGTCAACACGAAACGGACGCGTTCAAACAGCAGGTGCAGAATCGAGTAGACCACCAATAGAGGACGACGGGTCGATACCATTGGTGCGGATGATGCCTTGGATGGTGCCATGTCAATTCAACCAAAATTCTGAGGAAGGTGTGTTCTTACCAGCCAGCGGTCTCGAGGCATCTGCTCCAGGCATACGTGACCGTGACGAATCAATGCGGGAAGGCACCAGCTCCAAGCTGGAGTAGGTAGGAACTGTGGTTTGTAGACTTGTGGAAGGCGCTTCGGAAGATAGCAGCAAGACACTGCCGTTCCCTTCTCCATTATGGGCTACCCGCGCCTAGCATCGACACTCAAGGCAAGTCATTGCGTCGGTTCGAGAAGCATACTGCTTTCTTAACAAACGAGCATAGACTCCTCTCCAACACATACGATGAAACGGTAGAGCAGTTAAGGTACAGAGTGTCTTATGGGCGACCACGATCGTCCACTGCACGTTCTTGCTCAAGTAGACGCGATGGGAAGTGCCGGGGGAACGACCCGGGCCAGCCAAGCGACTGAGGGGTCTGCAATAATAATGGTGGCAGGACCATCATCACATCGACTGGCGGGGGAAGTAGCGACGTGCGCTAAGTAATTGTCCGTCAAGATGGCGTGGAAGAACTCGTGCCACGATCGATTTGTTCGGAGGTGAAACTGGGCAAGAGTTCGGTGCAGCATTTTCCATTAGATAACCTATCTACTAATTAATCAAGAAAGCAAAAGGCAAAGGACAAAAAGACAAGAAGGCAAAAAGCAAGAAGCAAAAAGCACGTCCAGGTAGCCAGCTGTATACAGTCTCGGCGCCTCAACTCAAGCGGACCCTCAAAGGTCGCCAAGGAGAGAAGCGCCTCATGGCCGTAAGTCTCCTGGGTAAAGGGGGAACCAGCCTCGACGACTTGCAGAAGAGCCGACGCATTTGAAGCTCTAGTCGGTCGTAGCACTTTGAATTTGATTTGCCCTCTAGATTGGATGACTTCATGGCGAATCGAATAGGCTGGGAAATGAACAGGAAAACCAACGCCTGATGAGACCATCGCCACATGATACACCAGTTGCGACCTGAATGTTGTAGGCTTGTCCGAAAGCGATTGTTGTGGACCATCTGCTTTCCATTGGCTAGGACCGCTATCCAAAAATCCCTCTCCTCGGCTTCTTGGGATGCCCCTCGCCAGCATCGGATGGCTTCTTGGTGCGCTTCTCCTTCTCCGTGGAACTCTGGCCGACATTTGCTCCTCCTGGAGCACTGCTGGACTCATCCTCACCGGGAGCCTCATGTGCCGTATCGAAAATCTTTCTGATCTTGTCCATCGCGTCGCTGTTCTTTTCAGTCCACTGGTTGTCGTGCGGTGGGAATGGCGCCTTTTCGATCGTGTAGCCCAATTTCTCGGGTAGGTCAACCATGTCCGAGATATAGCGGTGCAGGTGACCCGTAGTGACAAGGGGGCGGCCGAGTGCTTTGAAGAGGGCGGCATCATCCAGTGGCTTTGGAAGTGGGACTCTCGCCAGAGGCACATCCTCTGAAAGGATAGCAATTGTTTCGCTTAGGTTTGAGAGGCCTGCTTCAGTTAATGCCATTCGAGTGGCGAAATCGGACTTGAGCTGTGTATCGATTGCAGCCATGATGTCCTTGTCGACGTTCAATTTGCTCTTCTTCAAGTAAAGTTGGACCGCGTAGAGGATAGCGCCGCTCCTGTCGAGCTGCGTGATGGCGACCTGGTTCTGGCGTATCGAGTTCGTCATGAACGCCTGACACCGCTGGATACGTATCATGTCGTCTTTTTCGGCCTCCTGTGGCGAACTTGAATGATGTGATCCCGCTGGCATTTTTGTCGGAGTGAGAAGCGAGATAACCTCGTCGGAAAGTCTGGGCGGTGGTGGCGGCGGAAGAGCGTTCCCTGTTGCACTCGACATGGCCGGTGCCTGAGGAGCCGCCCATTTCGAAGTTGGTGGTGGTGGCGGAGGAGCATCCTCTGTTGTATCCGACATGACCGGTAGCCGGGCAGCCACCCACTTCGAAGCTTGTGGAGGAATCTTTCGCGCGGCTTCAGAAGCCGAGAAATGCACTGCTGTCAGTTCCTCAGTCTCGATTAGCTTCTGTCTCGCCATCTGGACCTCATCGCCAGTCGGAACACGGCATTGCTCTCTCGTCATAGAAACCCCTTCGTACGATTCCAGAGGAAATGGGGTCGGATCCGTTCCTCCGAAGTAATCTATATCTTCACGAGCCTTTCGCTGAGTGGATGAGCCCCCGTCCCAAGCTTTAGGTAGAGGCCTGCGATATCCAGTCTCAGCCATTGAGACTAACCGAACTGAGGTCAGGATCGAATTCTCAGCGTTTGAGAGGTAGTCTCCTATCTCATCCGACCAGCGTGCTTGGTCGACTTGGATTGGCCATTGTACGAGATTTTCTCTGTATGGCATGTCTAGATCAACAACGAGAACGATCTCGTCCTTATTATTCTTATAAGAGCCAATGAATCCTTTGGTGTTTGGTCTCTGCCAGGGATAATAAGAGACATTCGCCGAATCGAACTCTTTCAATCCCTGTGGCAGGGCATCGAATTCCCCACCTCCAAAAAGAGTGTACGTCATGGAGACGCAGACATACCTCCAGTCGTTTTCCGTGCGTGAACGTATGATGGCCGGGCGTCCCATTTGACGGCGTGATGGGTGTGGAAATCCAGTCGTATTGAATGTTGTCGACCAGTTGTCGTGAAGAAAGCGCGCGTTGAAGGCGCGTTTTTCGTGGCAGAGATACATCATGACTGCAACGTCGCAATCCTCCAGCTGACAATGCTGTGGAGGAAGAATCTTTCCGTCAAAACGTTCGTGGATCGCGCGATATAAATACTGAGTCGTGTCCTGGTTCGCAAGATCGGCCAAGCAAATCTGCTTGGAGTTCTCGCTCGACAATCTACTCGATATGGTTTTGTGTGGATTGGCGCAGTCGAAATCTTTGAAGAAAGGATTCCCTCTGACGTCTTTGTAGGGAGTTGGCTTTGCTCCGCCCATGGTCGAAACGGTCTCTTGTTTCGTGATGATGTCGCGGTATGCCAGACCAGTAGCTCTGTTGACAATATCCCAGCGCTTTTCGTTCCGGGCGTCTGAAACTGTAAAAAAATCTTCGTTTGAGAGTATTCGCGTGTAGTCACAGCCTACGCGGATGAATCGCTCAAGGTCAGTTATATTGTCTGCCTCTGCCAATGATTTAAGGAGCCCGTTCGGATGGAGTGCTATTGCTTCGACACGCTTGATTGTTTCTATATCGTCAGTCTCGCGGTCTTTGTTTCCCGAGGGTGTAAAAACTCGGAAAATACTCCAATCG